CCCAAACCCAAAACACAAAACCCTAAACCCCAAACCCCAAACCCCAAGCCCTAAACCCTAAACCCCAAACCCCAAACCCTAAGCCCTAAACCCCAAACCCCAAACCCCAAGCCCTAAACCCAAAGCCCAAAGCCCTAAACCCTAAACCCTAAACCGCAAAGAGCCTTCAATTTCAAGACGAGACCCCCTACATAAACCCTAAACCCCTAAACCCTAAACCCCTAAGCCCTAAACCCTAAACCCTAAACCCTAAAAGGGGACCCTAATTCAGAGGAACTACCCAGGTGCCCATCTGGCCTTACCCCTTAATTAAGGAGTATACCTTAAACTCATAATATTAAGGCCCGTATAATTTAAGGTATATTCCTGAATTGAGGGGTATTGGGTTCTCTGGGGCTCTGAGACAGGTGCACATCAACCCTAAACCCTAAACCCTAATCCCTAAACCCCTAAACCCCTAAACCCCTAAACCCTAAACCCTAAACCCTATAGATCCCTTTAAAGGACCCCAAAAGAGGAACTACCCAGGTGCCCATCTGGCCTCACCCACGAGTCGGGGCTTCTTCCACAGCGCCGTGCTTGAGTCCGGGACCGGTCTATAGGGGCTCTCTCACTCGGGTTTAGGATTCCTTTAAAGGGATCTATAGGGTTTAGGGTTTAGGGTTCCTTTAAAGGGATCTATAGGGTTTAGGGTTTAGGGTTCCTTTAAAGGGATCTATAGGGTTTAGGGCTTAGGGTTCCTTTAAAGGGATCTATAGGGTTTAGGGTTTAGGGTTCCTTTAAAGGGATCTATAGGCCGTAGGGGCTCTCTCACTCCTACACCGGGTCTAATTAGGTTTCAGGGCTTAGGGTTTGAGGGTTTAGGGTTGAGGGTTTAGGGACCGGTCGATCTAGAGGGTTTAGGGTTTAGGGGTTTAGGGGTTTAGGGGCTTTGGGGCTTAGGCGTTTAGGGGTTTAGGGGTTTAGGGTTTAGGGTTTAGGGTCCCCAGACCCCCGGGAGGATCCAAAAAGTAGATCCCTTACTTTACTGGGAGTTCCTATAAAGAGCCCTTAGTAGTATAGGGTCCTAAGTTAGGGGATCCTTCCGGGGGTCTGGGTCTTAGATTCGAGCGAGGTCCCACAGCAGCGAGCAAAACAGCCCTGAAGCCTGAACCCTAAACCCTAAACCCTAAACCCTTAGACCCTTAAGCCCTAAGCCCTAAACCCTAAACCCTAGACCGTTAAACCTTAAGCCCTAAACCCTCGGCCCTACGATCTTGCCCCGAGGTTAAGAACCCTCAAACCCCCAAGCGCTTTTGGGAGGAACTGCGACGAGCTCTTCATCTGGCAGCCAAGGAGGTATGCCGAGGTGGGCTGAACCTACGCCTCAGTTCAGGGTTTGGGGTGTAGGGTGTAGGGGTTTAGGGTTTAAGGGTGTAGGGTTTCGGGTTCAGGGTTTAGGGGTTTAGGGTTTAAGGGTGTAGGGTTTCGGGTTTGGGGTGTAGGGTTTAGGGTGTAGTGCTTATATGAGGCGGCAAGGAGGCTATCTTGGAGGTGTATGGGGCTTGTATACGATTTTAGAATGGCTTCTATAGGCATTGAGGTGTTCTTGGTAGATTTAAGGAGCAAGGCATGACGTAGCACATGGTTCTAGTAGAGTCATCCGTAGTACAACCCCATTGGGTTTAGGGCTTGGGGTTTAGGGTTTACGGCGGTCCCAAACCCTAAACCCTAAACAAAAAATCTACAACCCCAAACCCTA